TGGCGGCAGATCTGAGGGCCACTCCCGACCTATTGGTGGCCGACGTCGGGATCAAGGATTACGGCGAGAAAGAGAACCAGGATTTGGCCGATCGCTACACCATCTCGAAGGACGACTTCCCGTCCGTCAAACTCTTCCTCAACGGAGATCTCGAGAAACCCATCGCTTTCGACGACAAAGACTTCAAAGCGGACCGAATCAAGACATTCGTGAAGACAAAGGCCGGCATCAAAATCCTGTTGGACTCGTGTCTCGAAGAGTTTGACGCTTTGGCCGCGAAGTTTGCCGAAGAGAAGGCCACGAAAGACAAGCAGAAGAAGGTGTTTGAGTCGGCGAAGAAGAAGTCGGACGCACTGACCAAAGAGTCGGACAAGAAGTCGGCCGCCATTTACGTGAAGATTATGGAGAAAGCGCTAGAAAGGGGTGTTGTCTTCTACGAGAGTGAGAAACAAAGGGTTCAAAATAATAACTGGCCTTTCGACAGGCTGCGGTTCTTCTTCCTTGAGGTCCCTTCCGATTTGTATTAGCTCTCGAAGTAATAGCGGCCACGCCGGTTTCTGCTCGAAACTCACAGAAGAAACACCGGTATTATTTCATATACGAGTCTTTTTCTAGTATTTTGTGATAAGAAATTTAAATTAAATACAATTTTTTTTAATTTCTACTTTGAGTCCAATTTTTCTAGAGTTATTAAATTGATATATGTTTTCGTTTTTTGTTTAAATATTTATTTTGTATTTGTAGTCCATGTCATCAAATGTCGGTTGTTTTGATCCATAATTGTATTTCTTATGCAAAGCTGTTTTGTCTCTAAGTTTATGTACTTTTATTTCAACAGTTCTTCCAATTTCTAAATAAAATCTCTTCTTTTGGTACACTTTTTTGCATTTAGTAATTATTAAAACAATATTTGTATTAAATTTACTGCTGTCTGTCTGTTGGCATACAGTACTGTATATTTCAAACAATATCTGATGAGAAACTGAATTAATTTAGTTTTTCGTTTAATTAGAAAACACTTTTATTTAGCAATGATTTCAAAATGTGGTTTTATTTACAAAATATATTATAAATTATTTGTTCATATGTTTTATTAACAACTGCTCTAAATCCTAATGAGGTATGAATTGTGTTTTTTGTTGAAGTAATATATAAAACAAATGTTTTGTTCGTCTTTTTGAAGTCATGTCTAAAGTTTTTATCGATTTGTATAATAATTGCCATTCATTTGAGTGGGAATAAGGGCTGAATTATAGCCCGTATTTGAATTTTGTTTGAAATAATAATTATTAATTTCTCGCTTCTGTTCCCTCTCTATGTGATTGTTGTTCACATTTCGGGCGCCGTTTGAGCCAATCCTCTGCTTCTTTTGTAAGTAACATAAAAGTAAGACCAAAACCAAAGCAACCGATAATATGATTGCGACGATTAGCCAGAAACCCACCGACACTGACGACGACGTGGTGTAAAGTGTGTCGCCATCAGTGGTCAGTAATGGGGGCGACAATACTGTGAGTCGAGTCGACTTATAGACGTATTCAAAGGAGCCGTAATTATTAGCGGCCAAACAGATGTATTCGCCGGAATCGCTGTATTGTGTCCTTTCGATGACCAGATTATTGTAATAATTTCCGTCGCCGTTGTCTATCACTTGAGTTGTTTTGAGGACTTTATAGAAATTGGATTTAATTCTGATTAAGCCTTTTCTGAATGCCTCGTCTGGATTCATATTCTTCGCCCTCTTATAACTCTTTAGCCACTAAATGGTGTGCAAAAGAGATCAATACATGAAATAACAGAATA